AGATTTGGCACGCAGTGCTGTGCCAGACAGGGCTGCCAGCCCCAGGCTTTGTGCAGGCACTGGGCAGAGCCAGAACAGTGGCGTCACGGGGGGAACAGGGTGCAAGGGAGCCCAGGCAAGGGCATGACAAGGGCATCCCCTGGGTCCAGAATGGGACGATCCCCTGTGCCACCAGTGGGACCTTGAGACTGGCCCAGGGCTCCCCAGGGCTGTGTCTCCTGGTGTGCAGCCTTGTGCCAGGGTGGGGGCTGGGGCTGACCCTGGGCTGCCAGGCCTCCTGTGAGCACTGGCAGGCCCTGGGGGAGGCGGATGAAGTTGTGTCTCCGGCTGGAGAGGATAATTTTGCCTCCAATCAATTCTTTAAATGCACACAATTGAAAAATTGCCTTTGAAAGCTGCCTATAACCAGGGAGGTAATGGATTCCTTCCAGTCATAGGCAGCAGCTCAGGAACAGCAGCTTCCCTTCCTCAAGTGCCAGGGAGCTGGGGCCAGTCAGGGGACCAGCACCTCTCCTACCATAGGCCTCCTTGGGCAGGTGAAAGGGCTGTCTGGCCCTGTCAGGTGCAGCTGGAGGTGTCTCCATCTCCCTGGCTCCCCACCTGCCTGCCCTGTGCTGAGACCCAACACCATTCATTGCACCTTCCAGGGGGTCAGAAGATCCTGTTGGTCAGAGTTGGGGATGCACTTGTTCCCCTGCCTGCAGGGGAGGCCGCACGAGCTGGCTATGCCAGTGGGGGCTATTACATACGTAATTTAAATGCAGTAATGAGCTGTGCTGCAGGGATCAAATATTAATCAGCCACAAAAGAGCTGTTGTGACCCTATGAAAAAGGGAGAGAGGTGCTGGGGGTGCTGGATCAGCCAGCACTGGGTGATGTGTGGGGGTGATGGCCGGGCAGGGCCGGCTCCCCTGGCAGCAGGGGGGACATGTGGCTGCAGCATCAGCCCTTGGTGACTTTAAGAACCGGGTGGTTCATCTTCCAGGCAGTGAGGGGGCAGGGCAAGGGGTTTGCTGGCGAGGGGGTGTGTGTTGAATTCCCATGGGAGCAGCTGGGATGCTGGTTCTGGCGGGAGCAGGCGGTGATGCTCCACACCTCCATCCTGCTGCTAGGGAGTGGTGTCTGTGGGGACGATGACATGTCTGAGCTGCCCACCACGGAGCTCAACGAGTGGCTCTCACTCCCCTCTCACAACTGGATTTCAAGCTGAGAGGGCACCCCCAGCACCCAGGGGTGCTTGGCAGGCTGGGTGCCCCCTGTGCTACTTGGGGTGCCACAGGGTGGTGAATACTGGGTCCCAGGGGATCCCAGAGCTGGCACAGAGCCCTGGAGGGGGGGGCTCGCACCTGCCCCATGGACACCCTAGGGTGGGGGATCCGTCAGAGGAGACCCCGAGGCAGGGCCGGGGGGGGGGGGGTTTTGGGGGGG